TTTTATTTAAATTAATTTATATCTTTATTATAAATATTGCTATATATATATATATATACCAAACCAAGACCAATCAATAGATTATCTTTATGCAAGAAATGGAAAGCAATGGATTATTCGATCAGATTATGATTGCATTCTCAATTGACTAAGAAATCCATTTTGACGATGCATAAAAAAGATTATTATTTTTTTTTTTTTGTTATTATATAGGCATATTTTGACCTAATTGTTAAGGCATCACATTTTTCTTTAAACTGATACTGTATTACTTTCTCAGATTATAATCGACTTAAACCCTAATCTCTTCAAGTGGCAGCCTCTTTATATATTTCCTAATTTATGGTACTCTCCCTCTCTCATTCGCTCTGAATATGTGCTATGTGTCGTGCATTATGTGGTCAACCAGGCTCCTAGCTGAATTGTTCCCATCACACATCTCCGCCTTGATTTTTAGGCGGTTGAGCTGTTAATGGCCTGTGGCAGCAGTATGGATTTGTTAGGCTTAAATAAATTCCTGATTGGGTAAAATATGAAGCGTCATTCAGCAGCTGTCTCTGGATATAATCAGCCATAATAAATGCGAGTAGGTTGACTTATTTTATAATGCTGTCTGAATGCATCATAAATAATTCAATTTAGTTAATACAAAATCAATTTCTGTAAATTCGAATGAGCCCGCTCACTGCCCGTATACCACAGATAAAAAATCATCATATTATCATAATAAACTGAGCCTGCTTTCCGACTGTGTAGATGTAGTGTGTATATGTATATGTGTATTTGTATTATGTATATATTTGTGTGTGAGTACATTATACAATAAACATCATCATTAAATATAATTGCATGTTACAGTTACACAGCGCGTTAAAAGCTGCTGCCAGTTGAACGGCATGCGGTTACGCGGGACGTTAGCTGCAAGGTTGAAGGAGTGTAAAAGTATGCTGCCTAAAACCGCGTTTGTTATGTGAACGCTCATTAAAATGTTTGCCGCGTTACGCATACGCATAGTTGGTCACGTCAGCCAAAGCCAAACGAAAGCCGTTTAACGGCCGGTCAGCTTCACTGAGTGGAACGCCCCTTTGGCCCCCAAATCCGCTATGGGATTTGACTTTATCGTCTCCAAGTGGGCGCCATTGTACGGCCCATGTTTGGCTTATCATATTACATTGTTCTCGCTGTCAGAAGAGATGCGAATTCTACATTGTTATATTTTGAATTACAATGTATTTTTCAAATTTTTTATTTTTTAATTTTTTTATAATATGATATACTATTATTATGATTTAGTTATAATGGAGCGATTCAAGTTGATAGTTAAGCTTTCTTTTTTTTTTTGACGACATTTTTCGGTATTGTCCAAATGCAGAGTGAGTAAATCTATTTTCATAACCCGTTGCGCAACCTGCCTCATGGGTTTCCACGGGTATTTTTGGATTCAGTTGGGTTTTTCAATATGCAATATGTAACGAAAGTTTCGGCCATTGCAAATTAGCAAAAGCTCAAAAGTTGTCTATATATAGTTTCCTAATATTAATTAGGATTCCGATGCAACATTCGAAACTCTAGCGCCTATTTATTCTGTAGCCCCTGTATGTGATTTTCTCGTAATTACGTTAATAGCTTTCGGCAGTTAGTGTGGTCTGTTGCAGTTTCGTCTAGCGCGACATTTCGTTTGGTGTTGGATGAAGAAGCTTGGAGCCTCTTACCTAGGTTCAATTAGTAATTGTTTTGGGAATATAAATAATTAGCTATCTTAACCGCTTTATCGAGCTTTCTCGCACTGTCTAAAAATTTGTATACTAATCAACAACTTTTATTTATGTCTTATGCCAAGTCAAAGCTAGAATTGTATTTAATAAAGCTGCCAGCTCATATTTAGACAGATTTGGAATTAGTTACAGGAACGCATGCACATAAGTATCCATTCCACTTTGTTTACCTGCCCACCTACAGTCGAAATATGACATTTCATTTTAAATGCTGCAGTGCCCGTTATGAATATATGAACACCTTTGTATGTTATATGCACGTCTACGTGTATATATGGCACAGGTCGCCTCTGGCATTTTGCAGCCAGGGCCAAGAACACCATTAAGCATGGCATGGACTTGGTGAAAGAGTTAAGTTGTTATTGTCCAGTGACATACTGAATATTTCAAGAATTTCTTAATTGTTAAAACAAGCGAGCCGGCACACACACACACACATTCGGACACAGACCAGGGTCAGTTATTGTTGCTTTTGTTTTCGCTACTGTTGCCATTCTTGTGGGTCGTCATTTAATAATTCAAGTTTGTTGCTGTTGTTATTGTAAGAAAACGTTTGCCGACTGTCTGTATGTAGTATGTGTGCTTGTGTGTATTTTATTTTTAAAAAACAATTTTCGAACAAACGACAATGCGAATGACGGCCAAGTTGGTCCAGGCCGGAGTTCGAGGCGAGGCTATCATTTCCCTCTCCCAGTGGCAGTTTGGCTAGAACACGGACTCAGCATGTGCCACAAAGTACCCAACAAAAAACAGAAAAATCAAAAGAAAAGCGAAACAGTAGATGAAGCATAAGCAACAGAACGCAACGCAAAAAATAACCCAAAAATATAATAAAAAGAAATTGGACAATAAAATACAACAATTTATGGCGTACAGCAATCCTTTTTGGTGGCACTTTACGGTAGACTGCGAACAGTCAAGGGGCAACGGACGGACTTGTGCACCAAAAGTCGCATACAGAGGCAAAATGAGAAAGAGAGAGTGACAGTGAGAGAGTGAGAGAGAGGGAGAGAGAGACGGACCAATGGATATGCCGGATAAGGCGGCAACATTGTTTGCGGCAAGTGGGCGTGGCAGCATAGCCAGCAAATCGTCATTGGAAACTAAACGAAAATGTTTAGTATTTGTGCTTTTATTTATTTTATTCTTTGTATTTTTCGTGATTTTTTTTTGTTTTTTGCTTTACCCGGAGCGGTTTTTTATTTTCATTTATTATTGCCAAGGTTTTACTGCCCTTCGCACGCTCTATTTATTTATGTGTTTGTCAGCGTAGGAAAGCGACTTCAGCAGCGATATTGAATTAAAACTAAACAACGCACAATGTTTTTGTAAAATATTAAAATGATATATGAGCTCTATTAAATAATCGAGATTTGAACATATCGTTTTTAATAAACTAGATACATTGGGCAATAAATTTAAATTGCTTAAGATAACACATACATTTTTTGGGATTGATTTATGAAAATAATGCTTAGATATTATTAGTAAATAACAAATAAAAATTCAAAGTCAAACAAGCCAAAATTTGAAAAAAGAAATTATTAAATAATAATAATAAATAAGTATAAAAAAATTTGCAACATTTTTTGTAGGCAAACTGCATTTGAAATGAATTATACTTAATTGAAATATTCAGTATGATAAATTTGTATTAATAGTCATGTATTTTTTACTAATTGGAAAAAGTATATGCGTAATTTTTTTTTTTTTACATTTAATACTTATATTATTAGTATTTTTATTTATATCTCACTTCAACGCTTGTTCACGTTTGACATTAGGTGCCCATGTCCAACATATATAGTTTTCTTTATTTTGGTAAGCTTTGCGCATATTTCATGGCGTATTTTGCGTTAGTTTTGCTTCGATTTTGTTGTGCTTTTTATTGCTCTTTGGGCTAACTGATGGCCTGCGCAGAGTGCTGGCAACAACTTTTGTTAAACATTTGTTGCCAAAGCCCGTTTAATTTCGACTGCCAGCGAAATGATTTAGGAAAGGCGCACGTTTCGGGCAGCCAACTGCTGTTGCCAAGGACATTGCCGCTGTTGAAACTTTATTTCATTTAATTGAAATTTTATGTAAAACATGCATTTTGTTTGATGCAGTTTTTTGTATTTCGGTTTTGTGTTTTTGTTTTAATATAGCTCGCGACAGCATAGAGAAATGTAAATGTAAAATGAATAATATATTGCAAATTGGTATAACCATTTGAATTATATGCCGAGGGGGCTAACTGGGTAGCAATGGTAGCAAAACTTGACCTTTGCCAAAATGAGATAAATTTCATGATTTTTCAATGTTTGAACTTTTGGCCACAGTGCATACACACATAAATTACATGGCCAGGGGGCTGCGGGCGATAGCAGACGCTTTTTTATTGCAACCGAAACTCCACCGGACTTTTATCTTTAGCTGGGCGAATAAAATGAAATGAAATAAAATGTTGGGTTTCTACCAAAATGCACGCAGATAAGCACAACGTTGTTGCTGGATCGATATGTGTTTATACCCATCATTCCAAAGATGGAAGGGTATACGCACTGAATGGCAGCGAGAGCAGGCTGTAAAATGAAAAAAAAATTAACATTTTTCAGTTACGTACAGGGTATCTGTAAGCTCAACAATCCTGCAAGCTGTTATTTTTGCATTGTTTTTAACAAATTGACAGACAAACTCCGTGCATATATCTCAGCTAACAGGATGAGACAGCCCGACAGACCGACGGAAAGTAAGAACGCCAGCTGCAGGATGTGGATGTGTGACTGAAGTGTTTGTTGAGTGTGTGTTTCGAGTGCAATCAGCACAATAACAACAACGACGACGACAACAACAACAACAACAACAGCAACAACTATATATATACATCAGCAATAACAAGAGAAAAAACAACACTATGGCCAAGGACTTGAAGTTCCAGGAAGTGTTTCAGCGTTGATGGCTGTTGGGAAGTCTTCCTCCGGCAGACAACAGCAAGAGCACTTCTAAAAGTGAAATCCATGTTAGAAGAGTTATTGGCGGCAGTCAGAGTATGCAGATAAGCTGTTAGTTATCGGAAGGTGTCTAAGCACAAGCGTTCGCATTGCCAGGAATCTTTCAAGGTATTTTTAAGCCAAAAGATTGCCCACAGGCATTTTGGATTGGACAAATTGAGAGCTATTTATGGGTTCGTAAATGATGTTTACTTACATTTCGCTAAAACTCTCAGAAATTTCCATTTATGTGTTAATATTTATTTCTTTTTATTCAGTTTCCACTTTCTTCTGGCCACTTATGACATTTACTCATAGTTCACACTTAAGAATTCTCAATTTGGTTATTATCCACAACATTTTATGTTAATTTTATTTTATGTCTTACACATAATCATACAATGTTTTTGCTATTTATTCATACAAATATTTACAAGGGTAATACGCTGTTCACTCAGGCAAAACCATTTTGGCGTCTGTTGAGCTCAGCTACATACATATATATATTTATATATATATTATTTTCTTTATTGGAATTTTCTATAGGAGTACAGTTAGGTTAATTAATGTTATCATTATCATTAGTTGTATAATTTAATGTAATCAATAAATGTATTTGTTTATGTGGCAAATTTTACAACTGTCTTCAGCCTCTGCTGTTAGTCAGTAGAAATTGTTTAAATATTTGTTTATAAGTAGGTAAGTGTTTGCTCTCCGTAGTTGTGTGGTGTTATCCTGTAAACCTTTTTTTAGCTATTAAATAATCATAGTTATTATAATATATATAATTAAATTTCCGATCACATGTGTTTTTTGTTTTGTTCTAACTTCACTTTGTTTCACCCCGTTTAAACTTTAAATATGTTTTGGTATTTTATTTTTACAAAAGAAATGCTCTTGTTTGTTTTAGCTTATGGTTTATTGGTTTGCCTGCACGGTACAACCCCAACCTAAGCCAAACAAACAATTACAGCTTTGTTCACATTTCAGATGAAAATTGTTTGTAAAATTATATTTGTTGTTGTAATCAATAATTTAAAAAAAATATGTACCTTTATGTTTGTATATATTTTATTATTTGTGAAATATGCTTTGTTCTTTTTATGATTCTGATAAACATTTATTGTTTTGCAATTCTTTTATTAAAACTGCTTTTGTTCAATGTCATCTCTTGGTATTTGATTCATCATCTATTTATTTTGTATATTTTTCAATGGATTAATGAACTTATTTGCAATGTTTTTGGCGGGTTGACTTTTATTTGGATTTCATAATTACACAATACTTAGTTCCCATTATTTGAATATCGATTAAAAAATTATGGTCGAAGCCCTCAAAATCCATAAACGATGCTAAACGTGCGTGTGTAGAATTCGTTCGCATAGTTAGTGTGTTAGTGTGCGCGCGAAAGCACCTGACTAATTAATTTTTTAATTTTAATTAACTCATTAAAAGTACAATTTCTACCACTTCGGTTAAGCTCCAAACGAAATTAAAATGTAATCAACTAACGCTTTGTTTTAATTTGAATTGTAATTTAATAGACTAATGGCCACTGATGGACGCAGCTTTTCATTTGTGCTTAACAACTGCAGTCATTACATTACCAAGCTGTAGCGAAATTCGGGCAAAATAGGTAATACGATGAATCATTTTATATAAAAAAAAAATAAATAAAAAAACTGAGTAAAATGTTTATGCATTGAGCTTGTCGGTTTTCTTTATAACAAAAAAGAACAATGTTCTTCGTAATTTGCCACATATATGTATATAGCTTCCATAGGCATATTTAAATATTTTTTTAATTTTTATATAATAACTTTTTCATAGAAAAAATATGCAATGAAAATTAGTTTATGCTCTCCGCCTGAATCAGGACATTTGAGACGATCTTTTTATTTGTATTTTTTTTTGTTTTTGTGTGTGTTTTCACTTTTCCTATTCTTTGCTTTTTTAGCCAGCTTTTGTCTTTCCTTTTTTATGTTTGTTGTGTTTTTGTGCGTTTGCCCTACGCTTGTATTCTCGCTTTTGTCTAGGTCTTAGCTACTTTTTTTGTTGCTTACTCTTTGCGGATCCTTGCCTTACTAAGTGCTAAAGATGAAAATAAACATGACAATGATATTTATACAATGTTGGCTAAGCTATGGTAACCTTAGTGTTGAAGTGGTTGCCAGGACGAGAAGGGCGGAAGGAATATAGTGGGTGGGCATATGTGTGCCTTAGTGTGTGTATGTGAAGTATGGCTGCCGCTATGCCACTTTGTATTTGTTTATGTGCACGGCCAGCTGCGCACAATGTTGCCAGGCAGCAGCTGCTGCTTGGAGTCTGAGCGATTGAAAATATATGTGTGTGGGTGTAAGTAAGCACGTGTGTGTGTGTGTGTGTGAATGTGTGGTACACATACTTCAACACACATACACTATAAAAACAAATGCTCGCATGTAACGACGAAAAAACTTTGTCAATTAACCTAAAACAAGTTTCACTTTACAACACGTACGCTTGACATAATTTCTTCTCTCCCTTCTCTAGATCCTGGCATTGATGTGGGTATGTGTGTGTGTGTGTGTGTGTGTGTGTATGTGTTTGCAAAAGCATGCAAAAACTTTACATATGAAGAAATTATCACGTTCTTGGTCCTTGATACCGACAGTAGGATCTGCCCATAATGTCCTCAGCTGGAATTGACTGATCAATCGGTTGCACTCGCAATAATTCCATTTGATCACGCACCTGAAATGGAAACCAAATAAAAACAAATCTTAAATACTTCTCAACTAAAACTTCTGTGCCATGCGGCGTATGCGCAATATAAATGTAGTTTGATTAGGTTTGCCAACAGCTGCGCCCAAAAACTAATAAAAGTGTATGGCATATGCGAACAATTTTGGTGTATTCAATTGGCACATCTTAAGTTTTCAGCTGTGCAAAGCAAATGGAGAAAGTTTTTGCTTACTATTCAAATGCAAGTTCAATTTATGTTGACTCTTAGAAGCATTTTGCGTTATTAATTACATAAATGTTGAGTATATGACAGGCATAATAGATATTGAATTGAATGTGCTGCATACTGAAAATTGACCAAAAACGAATTGAAATAAATTGTCCAAAAATATATAAAAATATGAAATGAGTTCAAACGTGAAATAAATACTTTCTTTGCCTTTAAATACACATTGGTGGATTTGTAATGTAGCTTGTCATCACAATTCCATTATATACTATTTTATTGCTCACTTAATTTGTAGGCAAGAGTTATTATTAATAAAGAAGATAATTAAATGTCATAAAAATAATACTTAATACATAATAATACTTAATTTAAAGCAATACAATATTTATACTTATCAAGGTGTACTGCACTGTCTTATACGTATAATATTTTCTGCTTAAAATTTAAGCTGTAAATAAGCTTTTATTATTTTTATTACACTTTAAAGAATCTCTTTTAAACCTAAAAATATTTTTAAACAATTACGGATGAAGCAAAAAACCGTTAATTTAAGCTATAGTAACAACTTTACAAATGATTTTATAACAAAGTCGAATAGAATTTAAAGGAATTTAATTTGTTCGGTAACTTAAGCGGGTTCATTTGGTCATTTGGCTGCAGAAACCTGTTTAGCAAGAAAAATTCTCATCGTTATACTGATCCTAGCCACTTATAAAGTAATCATATTCCCATTAAATTATTTAGCCTTACAAAGCCATTCACAGGCCGTATTGGCAACGCATTACAACGAGTCCTTAAAGGACTTCTAAGCCCACAGAGAAGCTCGTTCTAGCCTTTTGCGTATTGTTTGGCCAACTTAGTGTGGGCTTTGCAGAAAGTTTGAGGCACATTTTATGCCGCGCAAAAAACAGGCGAAACGGGAGCCACAATAAAACAAAATATATGCAAAAACAAAAACAGAAAAAAGGAAAAAAAAAATAAAATAAAAAATAAAATAAAACAACAAAAAATGTTTTGTTTTCAACACCAAACACCTTTTAAGGCCGCACAGCTGCGTCAGTGCGGGGACAGGACAGAGGGCGAAGAAAAGGCAGCCGCAGTTAAAGAAGGGCAGCAGCCAGCGAGGATAGGATGGGTGGGACAGGCAGAGGCAGCCAGCTCAGCCCATTTCCGGTGCTTTGTTTGCCGTATAACAATCGAATTTACGACTTTTTTATGAGGCTTTATGTGCGCGCTGCTTGCCACATACAAACAACAATAAAACGTCAGCTTTGGCTCAGACTGTGAGCCGCAGTCATTGCACTTTGGCCACGCCCACTCCGCCCATTACCCTATAAGTTCTTTGTGGGATTTGCCTTTGGCTACGCTTTCCCGGCCGCTTTGAGTTGCATTAATGAAAAGCACATTTCACTGTTACATTTGAGTGAAAAGTTCAAAGCGAAAATGGCTGTTAAAGAGCCGCTGCGCCATTTTCATGCTAACCAAATCAATTGTAAGAAGGTCAGTTCGCGCGCACACACACACACACACACACACATACATATACATCCATAGAGGCTGAGTACAGACACAGGCCGGCAAAAGGATATTTAAATGAATTTGTCTCGCACAAATTGCTGCCATTTGCCGAGGACTTTTGCCCAATGCCGCCACTTGGGCTATGTGTCGTGCCAAATGCCTTTCCATGCTCGCATTAGATACTCTCATAAAAGGCTAAAATAAAAGATACATTTACACAAACACAAGCAACGACCTCAGCAGATCCTCAGCTGCCTTGACTGCCTCTGCTTTTGTCTAGATAAAAACTGGCGTCAAGAAAATTATCATGTTCATGGCTATGGCTGCTGGGCCTGTAGCACCATCAAAAGGCCACCCAGACCTTACCCATGCACCCCGTACGCCACACCCCTTCACCCACATACCCAGCCATCATTTGTGGTTGTTGTTGGGTCGCATTGAAAAGGCGCCACAGCATGAGCTGAACTGAAGCATTCCCACGAGCTGACTCAAATCTCTATTGCCCTAATTTCGCTTATTTTTATCACTTCGACACACTTATGGGTTAATGGTAGCTAGTGGGCGTTATATAAAATTTAAAGTACTTCAAGCAAAGTTTGCTTTAAATTAATAAAATAACTAGCATAACATTTATAATAACAGTAAGCATTAAATGATTAATTGTTATAATAATATTTATTATAATAATACATTTAGTTTAAAATTTCAAAAAATATATGAAACCTGTCGAATTGAAGCTGATTTATTTAATTGGAACACATAACAAGGACTACAAGTCGCAAGCATAATAAGTCCTCGTGCGTGTCTGGCATGAAAGGGTATAAAATAGGCATTAGTATGCGTGTGAGTGTTTGCATAAGAGATGACAATCATTAAAATGGCCTTTTGCCTAATTTCTATGACTTGCTTAATTATCACAACGATGCCAACGCCCACTCCAAACACCAACACCCATGCCCACACTTATACACATAAGCATATACAAGTACAAACACAAATACAAGCACAGACACAGACGAGAGACACAGACGAGAGACACGACAAGAGTCCCTGTTGACCTACTGGGCCAAGGCTTTGGGTTTGCGCCCTCTCCAGGGAAAGAGCATTAAGCGTCTAATAATTGAACGTTTGAACAGGTTTTTGTGTTCATTTAATTGCATTACAGGAGACGGTGGCTGCGATAATATACATTTTATAGCAAATTCGGGTCACCAAACGCGATAAATGGGCCTTGCATAAGAGTTGTGCGCTGATTTTTTTGTATCAAGCTTTTACGCGGGTTGGGTTCCGCGCGTTGGAACCAAACGTATAAAATAATACTCAAATAAAAAAGGGCACCGGGCAACATTTTTTAATTACTTTGTGGCAGAGTGAACAAAAATGGCAACAAACTGCAAAGTATAACAATGCGAGCACAATTCTTAATGAGCATTATGCCATATAATAAACACTAAAGGCTGTAATATATATTTATATATACTTTATAGCTGCCTTTCATATATAAATATCTATATTCATTTTTTTATTGCTCCTGAGTGCAAAATGCAATAAAAGCGCAACGATTTTAATCAGCAGCTTTGCAAGAGTCGGCAACACTTTTTGCCTTGCTCATGCGGCTCCCTTCGCATACACATTACTAAGTAAGTATGTACATGGCAGAGCTCATTGTAATCACATAGAGGAGCCATTGTCGGAATGTAGTTTACTTTTTGCTCAGTGCACATAGAAAAGAAGCGCAGAACCAAAACTAATTACAATGTTGCAGGCAGATAAGGCGTCAGCCTCGCTACTCAGAGTAAGAGTAAGAGTCAGAGTCGAGGACAGAGTCAGAGTCAGAGTCAGCGTCAGAGAACCAGAGAATAGGAATATGATTAAAGTTCGCAGACGCAGAGACAAGCGCAAAATTAAAAAAATGCTGCGGCATCTCTTTTTCGTGAGGCGCAGCTTATGGGGGTTTTTATAATGAGCAATAGCAATAAAATGAGCGCCACACGCGCAAAGTTCAAAGAGGGGCGCATGATTTATTATTATTTGGTATTAAATCTTTAAATGACCAGCTACCAACTCGACTTGGACATTTTAAATTAGTTTTCAAACAATAGCAATAAAGGTCCCAAACAAAATATTAGTTTCACATTTCACTATATGAGAACGTTAATTAAATTAAAATTTAAGTTGCAATTTAATCAAACTATGGACAAAATTTAACAACGCATGTGCTTTCAAAAGTGGCCAAAAATAAACAAAAACCTCATGCTGTTGCTCCAAAAAATTAACAATACATCTATTGCAAAATGAATATGTAACAATTAGGGCTGGCAAAATCAAGCAGTTCCCACTTTCAACAAAAAAAATAAAACTGTGTAAGCCGTTTGTGGATGAACAAAATTCCTTTGCAATAGTTACCAAACAGTCTGATCCTAAATGTTTGCTCAGGCAGTCATTCGACTGCAAAGCAAACTCTCTTCGAATACTTGGCTGAATGGTGCTAAGCATTGAGTGGCATTCGTAGTCGATGGAGTGACCTGCTCAAAGGACTCGCACACACAGTGACTGACAATTCAACATTCAGGCAAGGCGTATTGAATTAAATTGAATTGAAGTAACAGCAACAGAGCTGCCAAAGGAACAAATAGAAGCTGCAAGCAAGCCGATCCTGGCCAGCTAAGCATAGAGCAAACATGCTGACCACATCCGCAAACAAACTGCAGCAGCTTCTAGTGCTGGCTGCTGACTGCTGTCTGCTGACTGCTGGTCATGCTCATGTATAAATATCGGAATAACCATTTGAAAATCCTTTTAAAATTATTTCACAACTTGCGTCTTTTCGACGCCAGAGTCGCCCCAGTCATAGTTCCGCTCCGTTCTTGGCCCGTTCGCTATACGCACCAAGAATGTGCAAATTCCATTGCAAAGCCACATTATTCTCTTTATCCTTTGAAAGGAATTTTCCATGTGCAATAACAAGCAAGCCAGAGAATGCAGACGGCAGCAGCTACAGCTACAACTACAGCTTCTTACTGGGTTTTTTTTTTGTTTTTTTTTTTTTGAAGCTGCTCAACAGTGGCTCAACTTGGGACACGTTTTTTGTTGACCAAGAATTGTGCTTTTGTCTAGAGCTCTGACTAAGCCTTAATCCGCAAGGTAATACACAACTAGTCGAAGCCATCCAGAAAATGCAGTACACAGTGAACAATGGAATGCGAATGGGCAAAAATGTTTTTTCTAGCAATTTTTTTTGGCTTTTCACTCACCGCTTCGACTTCCTTGAAAACGCGTATGAGATTTCGTCCAGCCAGCTTCGCTATATCCCCTTCAGACCATTTATCTGACTCGAGCAGGGTTGCAAAGAGATGCGGATATTTTGAAACATCCTCCAAGCCTTTGGGCACGCTGTCAAAAGATCATACAAAAAAAAAAAAAAACATTCCGTATAAATAACAAGGAAATACTAAAATCATACGCGGAATATAGCAAAACATAACAACAACCAACAAAATTGCTTTGTTAACTTACAGATTGACGCCATCGTAGCCAGCCCCAATGCCCACATGGTCAATACCAGCCACCTCGCGTATGTGGTTTATATGCGCTGCAAAGTGAACAGAACAAAATAGGTTAATTCCATAGTTAAGTTTCTTTTAAATCGGCAAACCTACCCACAACATCGTACAGTGTCGCCTGCCCCGAGCAGCTGACAAAGTGCGGATAGAACGCAACCATAACCAAGCCGCCGTTAATGGCCTGTAAAGTAAGAGAGCCCCATTAGATTAGGGTCCAGTATTTAATTGGCTTTCATTTGCAGCCTGTTTATTACGTACAATGCGCTGCAATACATGATCCGGTACATTCCGAGAACTATTACATATGGCATGCGCCGAGGAGTGCGAGAATATGAGCGGCGCTCGAGATGTAGCCAATGCATCCAACATTGTTGGCACCGATACGTGCGACAGATCAACAATCATGCCCAAGCGATTCATTTCCTTCACCACAAGCTGTCAAAGGGGAAAAAAAACGATATGACGTTCCAAAATGACATAACTCCGCGCGGTGATATGACGTTCCAAAACGACATAGCTCCGCGCGGTGATATGACGTTCCCAAACGATATAACTCCGCGCGGAGATATGACGTTCCATGACGTTCCAAAACGACATAACTCCACGCGGTGATATGACGTTTCAAAACGACATAACTCCACGTGGAGATATGACGTTCCAAAACGACATAACTCCGCGTGGAGATATGACGTTCCAAAACGACATAACTCCGCGTGGAGATATGACGTTCCAAAACGACATAACTCCGCGTGGAGATATGACGTTCCAAAACGACATAACTCCGCGTGGAGATATGACGTTCCAAAACGACATAACTCCGCGTGGAGATATGACGTTCCAAAACAACATAACTCCGCGTGGAGATATGACGTTCCAAAACGACATAACTCCGCGTGGAGATATGACGTTTCAAAACGACATAACTCCGCCCGGTGATATGACGTTCCACAACGACATAACTCCGCGTGGAGATATGACGTTCCAAAACGACATAACTCCGCGTGGAGATATGACGTTTCAAAACGACATAACTCCGCCCGGTGATATGACGTTCCACAACGACATAATTCCGCGTGGAGATATGACGTTCCAAAACGACATAACTCCGCGCGGAGATATGAAATTCCAAAACGACATAACTCCGCGCGGAGATATGACGTTCCAAAACGACATAACTCCGCGCGGAGATATGACGTTCCAAAACGACATAACTCCGCGTGGAGATATGACGTTCCAAAACGACATAACTCCGCGCGGTGATATGACGTTCCAAAACGACATAACTACGCGCGGAGATATGACGTTCCATTACGTTCCAAAACGACATAACTCCGCGTGGAGATATGACGTTCCATGACGTTCCAAAACGACATAACTCCACGCGGTGATATGACGTTCCAAAACGACATAACTCCGCGTGGAGATATGACGTTCCAAAACGACATAACTCCGCGCGGAGATATGACGTTCCAAAACGACATAACTCCGCGCGGAGATATGACATTTCAAAACGACATAACTCCGCGCAGAGATATGACGTTCCAAAACGACATAGCTCCGCGTGGAGATATGACGTTCCAAAACGACATAACTCCGCGTGGAGATATGACGTTCCAAAACGACATAACTCCGCGTGGAGATATGACATTCCAAAACGACATAACTCCGCGTGGAGATATGACGTTCCATGACGTTCCAAAACGACATAACTCCGCGTGGAGATATGACGTTCCAAAACGACATAACTCCGCGTGGAGATATGACGTTCCAAAACGACATAACTCCGCGTGGAGATATGACGTTCCATGACGTTCCAAAACGACATAACTCCGCGTGGAGATATGACGTTCCAAAACGACATAACTCCGCGTGGAGATATGACGTTCCAAAACGACATAACTCCGCGTGGAGATATGACGTTCCATGACGTTCCAAAACGACATAACTCCGCGCGGAGATATGACGTTCCATGACGTTCCAAAACGACATAACTCCACGCGGTGATATGACGTCCCAAAACGACATAACTCCGCGTGGAGATATGACGTTCCAAAACGACATAACTCCGCGTGGAGATATGACGTTCCATGACGTTCCAAAACGACATAACTCCGCGTGGAGATATGACGTTCCAAAACGACATAACTCCGCGTGGAGATATGACGTTCCAAAACGACATAACTCCGCGTGGAGATATGACGTTCCATGACGTTCCAAAACGACATAACTCCACGCGGTGATATGACGTTTCAAAACGACATAACTCCACGCGGTGATATGACGTCCCAAAACGACATAACTCCGCGTGGAGATATGACGTTCCAAAACGACATAACTCCGCGTGGAGATATGACGTTCCATGACGTTCCAAAACGACATAACTCCACGCGGTGATATGACGTTCCAAAACGACATAACTCCGCGTGGAGATATGACTTTCCAAAACGACATAACTCCGCGCGGAGATATGACGTTCCATGACGTTCCAAAACGACATAACTCCACGCGGTGATATGACGTTCTAAAACGACATAGCTCCGCGCGGTGATATGACGTTCCACAGCGACATAACTCCACGCGGTGATATGACGTTCTAAAACGACATAGCTCCGCGCGGTGATATGGCGTTCCACAACGACATAACTCCGCGCGGTGATATGACGTTCCCAAACGACATAACTCCGCGCGGAGATATGACGTTCCAAAACGACATAACTCCGCGCGGTGATATGACATTCCCAAACGACATAACTCCGCGCGGTGATATGACGTTCCCAAACGACATAACTCCGCGCGGTGATATGACGTTCTAAAACGACATAACTCCGCGCGGAGATATGACGTTCCAAAACGACATATTTCCGCGCGGAGATATGACGTTCTCTCTCTCTCTCTCTCTCTCTCTCTCTCTCTCTCTCTCTCTCTCTCTCTCTCTCTCTCTCTCTCTCTCTCTCTCTCTCTCTCTCTCTCTGTCTCTCTCTCTCTCTCTCTGTCTCTCTCTTTCTCTCTCTCTCTCTCTTTGCTTATCTATTGAGCAAACAAATTATAATTACCTTGCCAAACTGGGAGAGTCCACCTATGTGTGGATATTTGCCCGGCTCGTCAACTTTGCAGCAGTCCGCCCTGTAAACGTTGATCTATTAATAATTTGCCAAACCAATGGCTGTAGCCGTTCGACTTACCAAGGTGTGTTGCAGGTGTGAGTGAGTGTAAGATATCGAGCGCCCAGCTGATAAAACATGCGCAAAACGCTCAGACTGGTGCCGATCGCATGGCCACCCTCGACGCCAATCAGGCTGGCGATTTTGCCCGTGCGATGGGTTTGCTCGATGCCCGCGGCGCTGGTGACCAGCGCCATGTGATGCGGATAGAGCAGCACTAGGCGTCGTATCAAATCGATCTGCTCTAGCGTTAGCTGCACTGCATCCAGATGTTGTGAGGAGCAGGGCGCGTAAGCGGACCAGAACTGTGCAGAGACCATGCCCTCTTTGAGACGACGCAGATCCGTATGGCTCCAGGCGCTCGAGGACCAGGGTGCCAGTTCGCGCAAATCGCTGCCAAAGTGAAAGTCCTTCAGCTGATTCTTGAGGAACTTGCGTATATTCCAGGGCAAATCGTTGTGACCGTCGATCAGCGGCACCTCCTTCAGCACGTTCCGCACACGCTGCATACGATAGTCGAAGTCCGCGTCGCCGCTGCTGCTGCCGCTGCCGCTGTTGCTTCCGCTGTCTGTGCCAATGGCCGTGCATCTTAGAATGGGCAGCATCAGCGGTAAATAGACAAGGGTCAAGCAGTTGAGGCCACAAACCTTGGGCAGCTTCCTCGATTTCATTGCCCCCAGGAGCAGCTAGCAGCACAGCAAAAGCCACGCAGCACTCACATTGATGATGTTTGTCGCTCGAACTGTGGGCGAAAACAAAATATATATATACATAAAGTTGAAGTAGAAATAGAAATCCGGTGTGGAGCACGCTTACAGCAAGAATATTGCATGTGATTACTATTTGTTTAGCTGAGCCGATGGCGTGATTGAGCTATTGAAACTTGTTGGCAAACAAATGCCATAAATATAACGCCCGCGGACTCTTTGGTTCTCGGCTCTAGCCACGACTTAGTCCTGGCCGCAAACATAAATAAAACTTTTCATATTTATTTCCGAGCCAACTTCGATATCGAGCCCGCGCACCAAATGCATAAAAATGCACAATAAAAATGCAAAAATTATTTATAGCAAACTTTTTGCGAGCGGATCAAAAAAAATATAATAGAAATAAAAAAAGGCCAACACCAAATTTAAATAGTTTCCACAGTGGGGCAAAAGTTTCCAAAGCGACACCAACGGTGAGTGCTAGAGTGAGACAGCGTAAATTCTTGCCAAATATTTGGGCGTGTGCGGCAAAAGGGGGGGCTGTTCTTTTTCACGACTCTAGTGGGATGACATAAAGTTTTTCCTGAGCTGCGGGTGGGCGGGCAGCAAAACACTATATGTTGAAAGGAAATTGAAGCCAGCTTTGACTTGGGCTCTGCGAGCAGCATATGAGAAAGCCACAGTTGCCGACAGATGCCGAGGGTATTGACCGGCAGGCACTACCCCAGTGCCCACTAACCACCTCTCACTAACATTGAGATTTCCTTTTTATTTTTCTTCCTTTGCGGCATTTCGTTTTCACAATTTTCTTTACGAAACTCAAATTAAAGTTTTGGGCCAACAGCAAAACTCAACTCAACTATACTAAACTTCTCTAATAGTTTTTAATGCATAAGTCAGCTTCATATAAAACAAGATGCCAAGATAATAAAATGCCAACTTAAGTATTGCGTAGATAATAATGTTTATGTGCGGCAAGTTGACGAAAACTGATTTTCAAAAGTGAATTCCTTTAAGAAATCTATCGAGAACCAACGTAGAACAAGTATTACACTTAAGAATAGCTTTTTAGGCAGCTAATGCTTTTTTTTTACATATTTAATATATTAACGTTATCAAGTAAAATGGAATAGAAATAGTATTTAGTAGCCGACCGAATTGCGTTAGATAGGCACCGAGTCTCGAATTACTAAAGTGAATAAAACTACGACTATAGACTATCTATCTACTATCGACAATCTACTATCTACTTGCTAAATAGTTAAGAATCGACGACTTTATACGAGGAAGAGAAGACTCCAAGCTCATTCAAGGCATAATTAGTTGTACAAAATGAAACGATAAGGGTCTATAATAAAGTGTTAGACAGAGAAGTTTAGTTGTCTGGTCAATCCAGAAGATTGGATTTCACACGTAATTAAATTATGAATAAAGATTTTGCCAAGCATGGTTAGTTGTTGCACACAGTATGAAATCAACATAAAATTTAGAAATTCTTCCTTGAAAGCAGGCTGATGTTTTAAAAAAAAAATGTTTTGTTTTGTTGATAGTTGATTATGATTAGATATTTATATATTTAAATTCAAACATCAAACCGATTCTAAGCATTAGACAGATAGAACTTTTTGTTTTCATTCACAAGCTTTTTAAGAGATAAAATATGATTATGCACATTTCTTGTAAACCTTGCTATTAAATAAAATAAATATAAGTTTATATGCTTACATGCAAGCACTGATATATTTGCAGAGTTTAAGTTAAATTCAATCAATATTATTTTTGATAAATGTCCATAATTGATTTTATGTTTAAGCTCAATGATAAATGCTTGCCAACGATATATTTCCAATTAAAAACAATCACGTATCATTCCAAATGAGCATGCAGTTCGTTTTGTGACAATTGTTATTTTATAGAGCAAATGGGAACTTGTCCTCGGAAAATTCAATTTTCATTCTGCTCATTAGTCCAATTGTGATGGCAATTCTAACTGTAAACATGTTGTATAAATGATTTGCAGTTTTCTACGGCATTCAGAAGAAGAAAATTGGTATTTGTTTCTGTGCTTGTATATTTGCAAGACTTGGCATTTGAAATAGTTTCTGTTCTTCATTTTTTTTTATTTTTATATATATTTGTTTTGTGGAATTCACCATTTTTTCATTTGCACAAACTTCATATGGCGTCTGAGGGTGTGCATTTTGTAGAGCATACAAACATGCGAAAAAACATGCAGCATGCTGTGCAGGGAAGTGGAAGAGGGAGTGAAGCCATAGAAGAGAGACGGGAGGCATGAATTCGTATGTTGATTTTTATGGTCTGCTGCCTGGGCACAAAATGAAAACATTTCACTCTACGAACTTTTGCGAGGCTATCTTATCCGTCTCTCTCTCGCTCTCTCCCTTTGTCTTTTGCTCTACTCCTTGTGCCATTTTTAAGGCCAAGAATCTTTAACTTTTTGCCTTATCGAAAATTATGCAAAATTGACAATGCCAATAAGGACGACAGAAACAAGAAGAACACGCAGCGAATTTCTCGTCATGCGAAACGTGACACAGGCGCAACGCACGAATTGTTAATGCAACAACAACTACAACAATTAATGACACGCCAAAGGACCGAAATGAGCGCCGATTGGGTTAACAATAATAACAACAACAACGACAACAACAACATCGAGCTGCCAACAATCAACAAACGGCTGCAAAATCGAAAATGTCCGACGCTTCGTTAAACATTTATGCCACTGACGGCAACTGAAGGGCCCAATGTTTGATCTTTGATTTAATTGCCATACGATACATTTCATTGTTAAGCAAGGCACAAAAGGAATCGCAAAGTAATGCATTAGAGTTCTACAAAACAACAGAGTACAAATAAATCGAGTTGAGCTAATATGCCTTGAATTACACTCATCTTACCTCATCCACATCTAAATACCTTTTTGTCAGTTTAAGAAATGTAACTCTCAGATAATTTAATATAAAACAGATGACTTTAATATTAAAGAAAAACATTTAACTGTCCCAATTTTCATTTTGTTTTGAGTGCTGCATCAAATAACACATGCTAACACAAAGAATTTATAATCTAGTCTAGTAAACATCAAGAAAGCCTCTTGTTATGCCGAAGATTAAATACCCTCCTATAAACTAATGTATGTTTTGAAATAAAACTTTAAAACAAGACAAATGCTTTTTTGTCATAGTTTCTTTAAATAACAGAAATCGAATACAAATTCAAATTAACATATTTTTAAAAATACAAATATTACAAAAATTTACTTGTTCTTGAGTATCAAATGTTTATAGTTTAGAAAACAACGAAGTTTGAATTGTTTCTAAAGTCCGCTATACAAAAAAGTGATGCGAGATTCAGATACAGATTCACGTACAAGATACAGAATCACATTTGCTGATAAAATAATAATACTCTTCCTTAGGGTATATCCAGAAAATATTTTGTTGTTCGCCCAAAATGTAATAAATTGCAATATTTACAATTCTTTTGTGGAAATTGAAGAGTATTTATTTCGGGGAATATACTCGTATGCGAGCAGAGCACAAATTTTGGTAGGTTGTCAGTTGGCACACACAAAGACACGCACACTCACGCACACACACGCACACAGATGCAAATACACTCGCTGGGAGCCAGACAAAATGGGCGCAAGGATAACTGCGTACAACATTGCGTATGCGCGTTGCCTCTGCAAATGCGAATGCGAATGGAAATGGGAAGGGATGGTTAGGGGAATGGGAATGGGAAGGGGGATGTCATGCGACTGTAGGGGAAGTGGGTGGATGGGCTGGAATGTGGAGAATCGTACATTTATTGCAACATATAAAACATTATTTTGCATGGCCTCAAAAAAAAACGGCGCGCAACCGACACATAAAAAAAATGAAGAAAAGCGGAGCGCGCGTTGGAAAATTGCAGCAAGGAAATGCGACGTCGTCGTTGTCGCTGATGTCGCTGACTCTGACTGCGACTGCGACTGCGGCTGAGACTGAGACTGAGACTGCGATGTTCTGACTGCTGTTGGAATTCTCATACAAAGTAGCAAGCGAATAAATAAAAATAATAAAAATATACGTTTCTTTCGACATTAGCGCTGCATTAAAGGAAGTGGCAGAGCGGCATCCAGCGAGTCGCCAAACGACAACCGAAGTCAGAACCGGCTAGTGCCGCACTTGTCGTCCTTCATTTCCATGCGCAGCCAAGGAAAGGAAACGTGCCGTAAACTACAGCAGACAATCAAAATGCATTCATGTGCGCTTACTTAACGTTATTTATAATCAACTCTACTCTGCAGCCCATGCACCCCTCCCCTTCCTTGACCGACAACTGCTGCTATTCGTGCTGCTCCTGTTGACTTTGCTACCGCCGTTTGCCTTGCTTCCCCATTTCATTTGCAAGCATTCAGTCGCTCCCCATTCATTCAGCTCCAAATTCCATTCAATACGAATTGTTGCGAGCCATCAGTCGCACAGAATTTCCATTTGCTCGCAATTTCCACGCCTTGCCTTTGCACAGTCGAGCATTCCTTGGGGCTGCACGAGTCCTGCACCATGGCATGCCCGTACCGTGTTGCCCATAAGCTTGATACAAAATTTTCGTTACTTTTTTTTATTTTTTATTGAATGCCTAGCTATAATAATAATAATAACTCGCCTTGTAGTGCTGGAAGGACTGCTCGTGGCGTTTTATTCAAAATTTCAACTTGCAACAATTTTCCATTTTGATAAGCATCATAAAACACATTGAAATAATATTAAGAACCAATAGCTTGAGTTGATCCTTGAGCCATATAAACAACCTTCAACCTTGCTTTTATATTTTATTGCAATTTCACAAAAAAATTCAGTTAATATTTATCTAGTTCTAGCAGCTAAATTCGTACTTTTATTAAAAATGTTTTCAATTAGACATGCGAATTTTGAGAGTTCAATTATTTTTCTGCCTATCTGAGTCCTTAAAACCTAAACACATTTACATATGCATATATATATATATATATATATATATATATATACAGTTGTTTCAATGGACGATAAATATATGATACTTCTGACAGAATTTAATATATTTTGAGAAATGTTTACAACTGTAGAGGAAAATGCCCAAACTGCTTTATTAGAGCTGAAATCTGTTAATTGTTATTCCACTCTTATTCCACTTTCAATAAAAACTTATGAGGGAAACAAAAGTAAGCATATGGCACAAATTAATTAAGTGCAACCCCAAATAAAAATGGCGCCTTATGTTGTCGAAAATGGAAATTTAGAAAGTTAAATGAGAACACACAGCACAACCTGATGTTGTCGCATGCGTGTGTCTTTGTGAGTGTGTGCTCTGTTTGCATTCACATTTTTGTTTTCATACATTTTCATATTTGTTATTTTTTGGCTGTTTTGAGCTTACTTCATTCCTTTCTTGTTGGTAATAAACAACTAAAGCCGAACACAAAACTGTACAAATACTTATACAGTCAAAAAAAAACAACCTGTAAATATTGCACACTTTTTAGCGCCGCACCAATACAATGCCAATTACAACAGCCGCAACAAAAAAAAAAAAAAAAAAAACTAAAGCGCAGGGACCTTAAGGCATGCGTACGCAAAAACGAATTGAAATAATTTTACAACATTTTCATATTTTAACAGCAAGTTGTTTTTATACCCTTGCCGAGGGTATTCTAATTTTGTTACGAAATGTGTAAGGTCTGTCTGTCTGTCTGTCCGTATGCTGTCTATGTTTCTCTCAGTTTTAAAGCTATCGTCATGGAACTTTGTTAAAGTCCCTCTTTCTGTTGTACTCAGTACATATTAGGTTCTTGGCAAAAAAAATAAATGAATAAATGCTTCCTATATATATGAAAAACCGTATCAACATCAGACCTCAATATCTTATAGCTGCCATAGGATAAGGCTCTTGTGTTTTGCGTGCTTCAAGAAATAACTAAACTCGGCATTAACTATTTTCGCTGTGCTTCTCAGTTGCGGGCAGCGCATTATGGGTATTATGAGAAGATTGGGTCGACAAGAGTATTGGGTCTTCGGTGTGCCGAAGATAGCCCTTCATTATTGTTTGATTTTCCTTTGCTTTTGCCTTGACAGTTGCTTTTGCGCTTCGTCCTTTTTTTGTCTTTGGTGCGCATAATTTATGCACGAGCTGGCAACCAATTGTCAGCCAGCCAATAAAAGGTTTAAAAGCTCTCCCTAAAAATGCTACGTTAAGTTTGTGGCTTTAACCAATCGCAAATAGTTATTAATTAAATTTCCCGAAGCTGCTCGCCAATTGGTATAAATAATATATATTAAAACAACATTACAGTAAACATAAAAATGAGCGCATTATTTAATTGTTATTTGAGCCATATAATTTCATTTGTGTTTCCTGCGTATTTTCTTCTTATGATTAATGCGTAAATTTCTATAATTAATATTAACAAACATGTTTTTTGTTTTTCAACATTACAAATTATTTACGCATCTCTCATATTAACTATGAATTTTTTCTTTTCGTTATAATGCAATTTATTTACTTACTGACACAAAATCAGTTTACAATTTTAATTAAATTAAACGATATCATTTTGATTTTTACAATTATAATAAATCGAATTATTATAATTAGAATCAATCTGTAAAGAGTATTAATTGCATTAAAAAGTCTGCAACTCGAAGTGGGATTCTAATTTGACTTCTGGGCGTATAACTATTGCATTAGTCAGATGTCGAAACTATTTTGTCAAATTTATTGCCTTTCATTTGAAAAAAAAAAAAAATGAAATAATAAGACAAATATTTTCATACATTGCTTAAGCCATAAATGCATTATTATTCAAATGCTTGCACACAAATATATTTTGTTTCAATTACATTTTCTAGCAACACCATAATTTATAATTTTATAATATATCTGAACAAATTAATTAAAATATGTAAACAAAACTTCAGTCAAAGTTGATGTCTTCGAAAAACACTTTAATCGATTTTGCAGTTAAATATCAACAAGGGGAAGAATCCAAACCATTTTTGAGGATATTGCCCTAATAACAATTGTGTCATAAAATTCAAAGCTCAACCGTTGGTCAGAGACATAAGCACGCCCCATGGGCACCTGCTGAGAGGTAACAAGGACTTTAATAATGTCACATCAAAAGCCACGCAAGAAATAGGAAATGTGCAGGGGGATAGTAGTGTCTGAAGGGGAGATTCAGCTCAAAGTTCAAAGCAAATTGTTGCGGAAGGCAAAAATGAACATTATCATCAACAGGAGGCAGGACGATAATGCTCGGCTACCATCTATGGGATACTCATTTCAACAAATGCAGACACCAAGAGAAAGGTTCGCAATACACACACACACCCACAGTACCATTAAATGACATTGTCTGTGGGTGTGTGTGTGTGTGTGTGTATATTGGCTGCAGGACTTTAGGATCTCAAAGACGGGGGCAGCGGGTGTTTTGACAACGCACAGCATTCGCATGTCGCCAGCTGCATATTAATGAAGTGGCTGCCAGGCGAATGGGACGGATGGGGTTTTGCGGTTGGGGTTTGGGGTTTGGTATGCCTGAGGGCAGAACGAGCACGGTTTTGCCAGAAGCAGTCATCAATTTCTCAATATTACGAATTCGATGGCAAAAAAAATCTGCATATGAACCGCAGGGGCACAAAATGTGGCAGATAAATACATATAAATAAGCAAATACATAAAGATACACTCCTACAAATGCGTGTGTCTATATGCTTATGGGCATAGATTTATGGGCCTTTCTGCTTACCAGAATTGTGCAAACCGTTTAACATGCTCGCTCGCTTATACGCTGAGACTTTAAGCTCTGACTCCAACACTTTTCCGCCTGTTAATTTTGTGTTTTTTTTTTCTCGTTTGCTTTTCTTTTTGTTTTGGTTTCGGTTTTCGTTTTCTCCTTTTTGCACTTCACATGTAATTCACATAATTTTCTTGCCTTGATTCGCACTCACGTCAACAAAGTCGCGTAATTACTGTCGCAGTTGCCGCCTCGAGGGCAATGGCAGCTACGGCGTATACGTAACGTAATTTGTCCGAAAGCGTATGCGCGTATGTATGTGTGTGTATGTGTGAGGCGAATGCAACACGTGCGGTTGTTAAAAATCCGCGCGATTACCACACAACTCATCCGGCCGAGGCACGAATTTGAACTGAAATTGAAACTGGCGACAAATGTGAAACAGGACTCGCCGCACAGTGGGCCGCACACGAAGTCGACACGAACGGAACGGAACAAGCGAGCGAACAGACGAGCGCTGCGTTGAGAGCAAAGACGACAGAGAGCGGTTTTCTGTCTGTGATTGTGGCTGCTGTCGGCTGCTGCGTTAGATAAGAAGTTAACTACTTGCATGAGTTAACAATTTAACTAAGACAACTGAGTTAATGTCCTTTAACCACACATCCTTGAATAAACACTTATCCATTCAGCAGCTGGCATCCTGGCAATATCAGTTTTAAAACTAGATGCTTCAGTTTTAAAGCCCCTTATGTTAATTCCCACTCTACCAGAAGTTTGACCCATCATAGATGTGCTTCAGCCTTGCCAACCACAGGCTACAGCGAAGGATATGTAGAGAGTGTGTGTGTCGAAGAGAGCGCGCATGAAAAGGCCAGCCAATTATTCTCTTTCGCTAATAGTGGGAAAATTTCCACGAAAATAAAGGGACTTTTGCGCTTCTCTTAATCAGCTGTTTTGTTTGGCTGTCAGCTCGAGTCGAGTCCTTTTGCATTGCAGGAGGTCAGGCATGCTTTCAAGTGCTTTGTTAAAGTTGTTAGTCCTTACAATGGCTACAAAAGGGGGCACGCAATTTAATGGTCAATCTTTTGTGTGTGAGTCCTGTTCAATAATATTCCTATCGGTCTGGCTTTCCTATGTAGCAATAATGCTAATCGAAATTAAATGGACTTGTCGGTTTAAAAGGTATTGAATACATTTCAAGAAATGCTGGTTAGCTTAGGTCAGTACCGAAGCCAAGCTCATAGTCCTTTAACTTAGACTATTAAACAATATACCCGTATGACCTAATGGATTTAATATCTTGTAGACCCAACATTTTTATAATGCTCATAAGGGTTTGCCCGTATCTAAGAGCACAGAGAAATTAGTTAATACCAAATATAGTTGAGATATCTTAAGAAACAAAACAAAACTTACTTTTCGACCGATCGTTCCTATGGTATTTGCATGAATGTAGGGAACATAGTAAAACTTGTAAATGGCGTGTTTGGTCAAAAAAGTTATTTATACAACAGCTTAATTTTCGACCGATCGTTCCTATGGCAGCTATATGATATAGTGGTCCAGCTGGTTCTGACATTGCACTACGTGCAACAGAAAGAGGCACTTTTTTAATTTTTCATATAGATAGCTTTAAAACTGAAAGACTAGTTCACAAAGAAACAGACAGACGGACAGAAGGACATTGCTATATCGACTCGTTCCAAAAAATAAAAATATATATATATATATATATATATTTAGGGGTGCATTTACCCTCTGCAAAGGTATATTTGATCAGCTTTTATATAAGATTTGAATATATTATTTTAATATGATTGTTGCGTCATTTTTCTTCCTTCCTCTATGAATATTCAAATTTAACATTTAATTTTATTCATAATTTCAACGTCAACAAAGTTATTTTATTATTGCTAACAATAAATTAACTAAACAAACTTTTATGACAAAATTTTCAATAAAACAACAAATATCAACGTTACTCGATTTAATGAGATTAGTTTTTTTTTAATTTCTTTAATTCTAGATTTGAAACTGTTTGTTCCGACTGACAGGCTGAGTGACTGACTAGCTGACTAGCTGACTGACTGACTGACTGAGAGCTAGAAAGCTGAAATTTTCACAATAGTTCCCTTATGTTATGGAGATGCACGTTAGGACAGGGTTTTAGTTTCTGGATGTGTGCAAAAATGTCTGAAAGTGCTGGTTTTTGTTTTCGATTAGATCAACCTCAAACTCATTTTTACAGATCTTTATTCACATTTATTTGAGGAGTGTCGCATACTTTTCCGCGAATCCATTCCTCCTTAAGTTAAATGAGCATCAAAACCAATTTCAAAGATATTTCTGAAAATTCATTAACGTATATCACTCTAGGATAATAATTTCGACTTAGAGGTTGTAAGGACGATATTTTTATTTTTAATTTAAGGCTCAATTTGGTGCCATGCATATACGCTTGTTTGTTATATGCGTATTAAATATAATAATCAAATATCAACAAAATATTGAATTTCTGGCCCTGTCCCACACGCAAGTTCAAATATTCAAAAAGCAGCGCCGCAAGCAGTAAAAGTCAAGCAGTGGAAAGCAACTCGAGCAGTTGAAGCTCAAAAAGCTTAGTGAGCATAGCAATTCAAGCGGAACACAATGCTCACACCAACTGGCAAGCTTACAAGCTGCGCACTGTGCGAGCTTTTAGATACCAAAAGCTTTTGGTATTTTGCATTTAGGCACAAAACTGTGCGCGATTTGACAACACAGAACGACCTCCAAACAACCTTTTGACGTTTCGCTTGCCTACGTTCGGCTGCCTTTTACTTATTTCGCTTTGGAATTTCTCGCCGACGCCGCCGCCGCAGCCGCAAGCCGAAAATAAAAGCGTCGGCAACTCAACTCCAGTGCAGCAGCAGCAGCAGAGCCAGCCGGTAGCCAGCAGCAGAGAGCGGAGCAAAATAAGAAAACACCCACACAGTTTGATTTTCCAGATCGGTGAGTGTGTGTGCAAACGTCTGTGTGTGTGCTTGCGTGTGATAAAAAAAATGTAAAAATTAAATGAAATAAACTAAATAATTGAAAAAGCGCAGCCCGTAATCTCGTTATATCAGTGCATTGCTTTATTATTCTCAACCCAAGTTGGTTTCGTAATCGTTTTCGCAGTTGTTAATACAGAAAAAAGTTACAACAAATTCTCGCTGTGCGTGCGTGTGTGTGTGTGTGAGTGTGCTTTTTTCTTTGACTGGAATTTTACTAAAATGCGAACTAGCTATGAGCTTTTATGATTTCCTCTTGAACTTTGTAGTGTTCCCTTTTACTTATCGCAGACCACGTCGTTGACCTATGCAACTGAGCTGATAACAAACCTGAGGTGACAGCTTATCAGCTATCAAATAACGGTGCTTACCACTGCATTGCCGGTTGCCCAACCCCCCTTTCCAACCATCGTCAACCAACCAGAAACCGCACTTTATCTACATTTTCACTTATGAGTTCATTTGCTTGTTGGCAGTGTTTCAACTGCAATTTGCTTTATAAATAGTTGCCCCACGTCTTATGCATGCATTTAGCATATACATACATACATATATATATTTATATATATTATGTATAATGGTCTATATGCATATATTCATTAGCTTTCGTTTAGTTTTCAATTAAATGTCGTCATTGCTGTGCGTTTGTTGAGTTCATCAATTGGCATTTCCCCCCCAAAGCGGAGAAACCCTTTTCTCGCACATAACTCAAATCAGCACAAGAAGAGGGAAAGAGAATGGAAAAGAGACGGAACGTAAAGAATATGCTCGGTCCTGCTCGAGTGTGGCCGCCACTTTAGCAATTTATCTTGCCTTACATAAGAGAGTGATCCATCCATAGATAGAGCGAGAGTGGGTGAGTGTGAGAGAGAGAGAGAGAGAGAGATAGGGAGAGAAAGAGGAAGTGGAAGTGGAAGCGGAATGTTAAGGGTCAAAATAAGACAACAACAAAAATACCTTGAAGAAACTACCCTTCAAGTTGATAGCGTGAAAACACGTTTGTGAATGAAACCCATTCTGGTGTACGTGTCTGAAAGCGAATTCGCCATCAAAACTCTTAGTTTCTAATTATTATCTATACAAACCCTATCAATGATACAAAATTGTCTCATTAATATTCAAATGCGAATGTCGAATCTTAAGGATATAAATATAAATTTTACTTATGCAAATTAAATGTTTGGTAGCTGATTTATAGGCATAAAAAGATCCAACTAGAACATTTCTTAGAGAAATAATACAAATTTAAATTAGGTGATATCTGAGTGAAAGTGAATTGGGATAAAATACGAAGCAATAAAATAACAAAATAATATATTAGCATAGACAAGATTATACATTTGATGAAGTCGAAATAAATATATAAGGAGTGTATCTTTTCTAAATCAGTTTTTTATTTTTAATATCAATATCAATATACAGAAAAGTCCATTACTTTGCATACATTTTACTACAGCTGCTTTGACTCATGAACAATATAACGCCCTGCAATGTACTCCGGTTTCTTGCCGCCTTTCTCTCTCTCTCACTCTCTGTCGCTCTGAATCCGTCTCTCTTCCTTCCTTCTCTCACCCATTCCACCACTCACACGTCAGTTTCTTCCTGCCTTGACGCAGCGCGTATTTTCGTACTTTTGACCTATTGCTCATGCCTGGAGGCCGGACTTTTTGTTGTGATCCGCACCACACACGCGCAGCGACAATAACATCCTGAGCAAGTCTCATTAGGCGATAACAGGTCTCTGTTAGAGACTTTGGAATCGCTTATTGTCAATATTGAGGGGCTCGTTTTCTTATTTGTATTCTTGAAGTGAAGGTTAAATTTTGAACTGCATGACAACAGCAGCGAATCAAGATGTTTCCAAAGTTTCCATAATATTCGAAAATCTCATTTTTTTCTTCGTCGTTTTATCAACTTGTTTTTTTTCGTAGCAGCCGCTTTATATGTATATGCACACGTTTTCGTGATATTTAGACACATGTGTCTATGTTATTTTTATAATATACACACACACACACACACACACACACAGCCATAAGCATACATGTTTTTTTGATAGCGTTAATTTATGTTGTTGGTTTTTTGTTCCCCTTTTGTTGCTGTCACTCGGTTGCTTTTTTGTGCTGCTTTGTATTTTTTCTATTTATTCGTCGAGTTTTTTGGGCTTCATTTCAGTCTTCAATCGATTGCCGGCTCGTGTAGGTGACAAGTGAGTGAATCAGCTTTGCATAGATAACTAAAAGACAATAGAAAAAAAAGATAATAGTGTGTATAAAACAACGCAGTTCTTAGATTCCCATCATATTTCCAAGTAAACAAATTTCCAGCTGCATTATATAGACTTATCAGTTGCGGTTGTCGTTCTAATCAGTTTGTATATATTTACCTGCATACATATATGTATGTGTGCGAATGTATGTGTTTTTTTTTTTGGGTAGTGCGTGCTTTTCAATGTCAAACAAGTCAAGCAACATTGCGACTTTGTTGTATCTAAAACTTTTTCTCTATATAACACTTGCCTTCCTTCCACTATCTCTCTCCAACTCTCTCTCTCTCTCTCTCTCTCTGTCTCTCTCATTATATATATGGCTATCTCACTTTTACGCGCCACACGCGCCCTTGTAGTGCTTAACCGTTTCATAAGCAACACGTCACAAATTCGCCGCAGCAACATGTTGCCTCTGACCTTGTCCAATGTCACCGTTTTGGAGCATGCGCCGCACACGTCACGCAGCAAAAGTGAAAGTGGACGTCACAAGTATCGGCTGCCCCCTACCCCCTCCTCTCGGGCGGGTCTTACATTTGCCCTCTCTGAATTTCCGCGCCCACCGCTTTGATTACATCAGTCGAGGTTATACTTAAATTCGCAGTCTCGACTTGGCTCAGTTGCTGAAAACGCATTGTCGAGGTTGGTTCAGCTGCTGGAGCTAAAATAAAAATTAAAGTGTTTAATTGGTGACTAATAATTTTTAATTAATGGAGTGTGCTGTAATAGGGCAGCTCTTGTTGTAAATCTGTGAATTTGTAATTGCTCACAGTTGCTATCAATTGCTATAGACTGCTTATATATATGCAATTAGTTCGTATAAATGAATTTTGTACACATTCTTCTGCCAATTTTAAGATAGCAGAACAAAGTTGCTTGGCAACATTGTTGCTCAGTTAAGCACAGTATCCTATGTATTATATGTACATGTATCTAAGCCGTGTTTAATTAATGCAGAACCATAAAAAAGTGAAGCATATTTAATAAAATATGCAAGTGCTTGCAGTGTTTATTTTTTAAAAGGAAAATTTCGCACATTTCTTTGCCACTTTTAGCAACACCCTCAGCTTGGCAACATTGCTGCCCACACTTAAGCAACATTTTGTGTATATGTGGGTAAAATGTTGCCAGCGCAGCAGTTAGCCGTTAACACGCTCTCTTTTTACGCACCTACACTCTCTCTTGTCATTGCTCTCTTTGAAAAAACAGCTGTGCATTTGCAAAGCTTTCAAAACCTTAAGCCCCTTTTGATTGATAGTTATTCATATATGTATATTTTTTCCGCCCCGGCGACAGACGCTTTGTAGTTGTTAAAAATACACATACCAAATTTTTTTAAATTGTAGTTCATCAACTCAAAATTTCAATTGTTTTAGATATATACATACAAGCATAGCTCGCAAACTGGAAACGGTGTCAAAATTCTTAGCTCATATAGACAGCGCACTCTCTTGTCCCCACCCAAATGCATTTCAGCGCACTCCGACTGCTTAAATCTATTCATAACAATGCTTTATCGTATAAACATAACTCACAATGTCAATCCGGGCCATTTCAGAATTTTACGCGAATCTCAAAGATGACCACCTACTTCAACTATCCCAGCAAGGAGCTGCAGGAGGAGCTCAGAACCATTGCCCAGGCGATCGTTGCCCCTGGCAAGGGAATTCTCGCCGCCGATGAGTCTGTCTCGACCATGGGCAAGCGCCTGAAGGATATTGGCGTGGAGAACACCGATGAGAACCGTCGCGCCTACCGCCAGCTCCTGTTCACCTCTGATGATAAGCTCGCCGAGAACATTTCCGGCGTCATTCTCTTCGACGAGACTGTGTACCAGAAGGCCGATGATGGCACCACCTTCATCCAGTGCTTGAGGAAGAAGGGCATCATTCCCGGTATCAAGGTCGATACTGGTGTCGTGCCTCTGATGGGCTCCGAGGATGAGTCGACCACTCAGGGTCTGGATGATCTGGCCAAGCGTTGCGCCAAGTACAAGAAGGAGGGCTGCGATTTCGCCAAATGGCGTTGCGTCCTGAAGATTGGCAAGAACACACCTTCATACCAGGCCATCCTGGAGAATGCCAATGTGTTGGCCCGCTATGCCTCCATCTGCCAGTCGGAGCGCATTGTTCCCATTGTGGAGCCAGAGGTACTGCCCGATGGTGAGCACGATCTGGATCGCGCTCAGAAGGTCACCGAAACCGTTCTGGCCGCCGTCTACAAGGCCCTGAACGATCACCACGTCTACCTGGAGGGCACTCTCCTCAAGCCCAACATGGTCACCGCTGGCCAGGGAGCCAAGAAGAACACACCCGAGGAGATTGCTCTGGCAACCGTCACGGCACTGCGCCGCACTGTGCCCTCTGCTGTTCCCGGTAAATTCTTAGCCCTACTTTAGACAAATATTAATGCATTTGCTAACTGATTTTCGCTATGTGCAGGCGTCACCTTCCTGTCGGGTGGACAGTCTGAGGAGGAGGCCACCGTTAACTTGAGCGCCATCAACAATGTTCCACTGACCCGCCCCTGGGCTCTGACCTTCTCGTACGGTCGCGCCCTGCAGGCATCCGTGCTGCGCGCCTGGGGTGGCAAGAAGGAGAACGTTGCCGCTGGACAGGGTGAGCTCATCAAGCGCGCCAGGGTAAGTTTTACGCTATGGTTAAACAGAGTTTGGGCTTAGCGATACTTTGGGTTGCTGTAGACTTTCATCTTTGCCAGCGCTGTTGGCGGCTGTTAGCAGGAAACCATATTAACCAAAGCATACAATAACCTTATCATCCTTATTCCTCATCACATTCACTCATCCAGGGCAATGGATTAGCATCCAAGGGTTGTTATGAGTCTGGCTCCGTTAAAGGCGCCGCTGGAGATGCAGGGCTACATGTCGAGAATCACAAATACTGAATACCCACCTCAAGAAATCACATTTAAGAACCAAAAAAAAAACAAAAAAACTGAAAACCATTTTAAAGACGGAGGATTATATTGGCCCTATAATTGGCGATCTGAACGATCTTCAAATTGTTTTGAAACTTTAGGCGAGCTTTATGCTGGGTGCAAAATATTGAGACGTAATACGTTATCAAGCCAATATATGGGAATTTCACATGCGCGTCTTTAATGAAATGTGCTATATGTATCTTTTGATACACATCTTATTTTGTAAACCCTATAATACACATACAAGGAATTTCAGTGTTGTAGACATTGTAGAGACGCAGGAAAACACATAGACTGCGAAGTCCTTCCAAAATTTTCAATGAAATCCATCTTATATTTTATAAAAACATTTATAATTTTTCTTTTATTGTCTATTCTTTCTTCATTTTGTTATACTTTGTTTATTATAATTTTCCAACTATTGAAGACCTCTGCTACATGCTCTTCGAATAAACTAAATTCCTGAAACTGAAATTAGGCATGATAAAATCCTAACCGAACCTGTTGATTTAATTATTTTCATATTTTGCTGCATTTTTTTGTATGTTAACCAATACTCACAAATAAACCATTTTATTTTTGACATCAATAAAAAAGAATAAAAAAAATAAATGCAAATTTTAAATCCCTCTCAATTATTCATATACATTTATTCCACAAACCTACATTTAATTTGAAAAATGCATAAGCATTAAAAAATAGTAAATAATTTTAATAAATGCATGCATGACAATATTTTCTAAAAAAAATTACACAAATAAAACATTTTAAATGTAACGTATAAAAACCCTTTCTATTTGTCTTCCACATGAACTAATGCTATATATCATTTATTAATAAATTCATTTATTTATTACATATTTCACCTAATGCTTTTATTGTTCTATTTTTTATAACTTGCTGTTTTTACCTCTCATTACGCTTAAATGTTTGTTCTTAAACCGTTTTGCGCGCTTTTTCAACTAATCCCAAACCGATTCCTGCTTTCCCTTTTCTGTTTATCCCCGAAACCCTCAGGCCAATGGACTGGCCTGCCAAGGCAAATACGTGGCCGGTTCGATTCCCTCATTCGCGGGCAATACCAGCTTGTTTGTTGCCCAGCACAAGTACTAAACAAAATTAAAGACAAGTTCCAGCAAATGCAATTCCTAACGGCCGCTGTCTTAACCCAATTGGCTTACCTGTGCTGAGAGCAAACCCGAACACATTCCGCCCACCAGCACAGACATGGAATTACAAACCTAAAACCTTATATAGATGTACAACTAGAGTTCTAATTATGACAAAATATAATATTACAATTATTATTTTTTTTGACATGAGCCTACACTTATAATTTTTGAATGTCAGGAAAACAAAAACGAATAAATTATGTTTACGAATGTATTCGACTTTGTGGCCTTTGATAATTAAATCAAGTTTTAATTAAGAAAAAAAGTAACGTTTGGAAATATAGGAAACATACAATAAAATTTATTGTTTTATATAAATTGTTTCTAGATTTTCTTTATATATGCTACATTTCAATTTATCAACTTATAATTTTTTTATGATTATATGAAAGCATCTGACAATAAATATGATTATATAAAATATATGTTAATCATACACATAGTACATCTGATAGTAGTTTATAAGCAGTTAAAAGTTAGTTTAATAAGCTAACAACCAATTTACTAAACCTGCTTGTCAATATGCACAGCTAGCAATGTCTACACAAGCCTTAATTAATTTCAAAAATTATTTAGTAGCATGAACTTTTTCTCACACACACTGATGCACACTGTTAGCCGGACACGGGGCGTTTGCAGAATTACAGAAATTACATGCCGGTTTTGGGCCACAATTAAGCGTAATCGAATAAACTTTTAGCTCAAAAGACTTACAAATTTAATTTACAAGAAAAACTTTTCAACATGTGGGGTTTTTATATTTGTGTGTGTAAAAGTGGGGCTTTTGCGTAAAAAGTTGGAAAAATTGCGGCAGGTAAGACGGGGCCAATGGGGCCAACTTCCAATTTACAGTTCAGTGAGCCATGCCAAAAATCGCAGTAAAAGTTCGAAAAACAAAATCTCGTGTTGCGCATTTTCTGGTGGAAATTATGTTGGGGAATCATAACTATAAAATGCTAAATTTATTAACATTTCCATTCTCTTCTCCTCAGGCTAACGGTGAGGCTTCCGTGGGCAAATACGTTGCTGGCAGCGCCGGCTCCGGCTCTGGCTCTTTGTTCGTTGCCAACCACGCCTACTAAGGCGGGCAGCAACAACACCAAGCAGCAGATAATAAAAACAAAGCTAATTGCTGAGCAAAAAAAAAAACACAATTTTTGCAGCAATTTTCTTTATTTATTTTGTAAGTTACAAGAAAGCAAAAGCAAAAAAGCAAGCAAAAAAGTTTAAAAAAAAAATTTACCACAAGAATGTTTGAAAAATGAAAAAATTATGTTTATTGAGAAGCAAATTTACTTTTAGTTCTAAGCACAAAAGCAAAACGAAATGTTGAAGTTATGCAAATTATATATATATTATACGATGATTATAATGATGATTATTATGTAATATTTCAATGTTCGAAATCCACTTGCAAAAAGCATGTCGTAAATCGTAATCGCAGGTAAAGCCAACAACATCAAAGATTTTTAACATTGAAATCACATGAGTTTCTTATGTTTTTACTTATTCATTAATATTTTGCAATGTTTGTATACAAAAAGCTATGAGAAAAATTTTTCATAATTATTATTATTACACTTTATATTTATGATTATGATTGTAATTATAAGTGAACAAAAGGAAGCAAATAAACAAACGCAATCGAAATAAAAACAAAAAACAAAAACTAACCCAAAAGTCAACAAATCTATAACATATAATTTTTATCGGCAGAATCAAGCTGATCTATATCTATTTCAATACAAAAATGCATGAACGAAAATAAAACATTGTTATTGCTAAAAAGCAGAGTTTATTAAACAAAACAAAAATATGAATAATTATAATTGTAGTTGACACACATAATGCAAAACGGTGCAAAGGTCACTCGATTTAGCAGTTTTCTATTGTTATGGTTCCATAGAGATTGTAACTCTTGGTTCGTTTTGAGGCATCAGCGAGTATTCCTTAATATCAAGAGACAAACCAAGCAAATAACTAACCCCATATTTATCTATTCTATATATATTTACGATTCTTTTTATTATGTGTTACTCAAATTTCTTATATACATATATATATTTTTCTGCATATCGTTGTTACCCACAAACATTTTAAATGCAACACAGTGCATATACCCTACATTTGTAAGCAAACTTTTAATTTAAAAATGAACATTAGCAAAAAAGAAAAAAAAAATGAAATAATTGTATCTCATTTTATAATTTTCTTAATTCCTGAAAGCGAAACGTACAATAACAACAACATCATGTTTCACTTAATTAAATAGCTCAAATATATGAATATCCTAAAACATTATATAGCTGAAGTATATGACAACTCGACAACATTAATATTAAACAACAACAATAAAAATCTATAAGGCAGTTGAACGAACATCATTCAATAAAAACTCGACCTTATAAAAGAGCAAAAATACCAAAAATTTGTTTTCATCTTAATTAACTACCAAAAAAAAAAAAAAAAAAAAACACAAATACTGTTGCATATAACAGGGCGAAGTTACGAAGTTTGCAAAACTGGCTTACAGCTTGACAGGGATTGAACTAAAAATGACTGGCAATGGAAATTTAAAATTTTATATGAATAATCCGGAAATTATTCTCTCAAATTGATTGGAAAATTCCGTTTCGGAAATGAAACATATTTTATATTTCACTTAAGTGAAAGACTTTAAATTTGATGTATGTTGGTACCAAGTAGTCATAAAGCTGGAAGATCATCTCATTACTACTCGATTAATTCCTGGCTAGTGTTAATAGCCAATTTGAAAGGGACAATATGCTTACATGCGAATACATCCACCTCAGAGACAATAAGCATATCCATATTTAAAAACCTATTAACATTAAGATTCAGTTGAGACTCTTGGGTTCCCTTTTCAGCTAGGTCTTTGTCTATCTTTAAATCTATATATTGCTTAAATACAAATCTTAAAAGCCATTCAAATAACTAATTGCCCAGACACGTGAATTTGATTGTGTTTCTTACTGTCTAGGAATATCAATAGATACTTAGAATAAGCATGTGATTGAATATACAAATATACAGGCACACACACAAACACACACACACACATACTCACACCCACACACACATACTCACACCCACACACAATTCAGCTAGCAGCAAATAAATTCATATTATTAGCATTTAACTACATAAAAATTAATATCTATATGTGTTTGAAGGCTTGAAATTTTACCAAAAGGTAGCTGAAAATTTACTCATGTTTACTGTACACTCAGAATATACTAAAATGGAGAAAAAAGTTTGTACTAGACTATTTATGAGACAGCTTTTCACATAATATTCTAGCGTTCTACCATTTATGCTGTCGTCACTTAAATGCTTTCTTTAAAATTTGCTTTCACTTCTTTCTACTAATTTGAATTAAGTTTTAAAATTTTTAATACATATCCGATTAATGATTCTATTTTCCCTCAATTTTCTCTCTATGAGCGGACTTTTCACATATTATTTGCTTACTCTACTATTTATGCTATCTGACTTAAATCTGTTTTTTAAAAATCGTTTACTTACTTCTACTTTTAAGACTAAGATATAATAATTGTTATTAATGTGCTACCAATAATTATCTTGTCCATTCTCTGTTCAGGATTATATTTCTGCGAACACGTCCTCTCAATGATTTTCCAATAGATTTATTTTTCAGATTAAAAGTGCATTGCAGCTTACTTAGAATTTCTTGCTTGAGTGCTTAATGCTCTTTAATTGGTTACTGAGAACGATAACTGCAAGGAGTTTCATTTATTTTTCTGACATTAGCTGATACCCACAATAATTGTGTGCGATGCCAATGTCAAGTCTGATTTTCTTTCTGGCTATTTATAACATTCATAAGTATCTTCTTTTCCGATGCACGCTTAGCTGATTGGTGTGGGGTTTGTTTCCTGCTGCCATTTGTTCTATATCTAAAACACCTTCGAAGTGGCTCCAATCAATTTGAGATTCCATTTAAATGATATGTTTGCACTTTATTGCTAGTCGTATCTGTGGTACGGCGTATCTCTTATTGTATCGCAGTTATTCAGAGAGTCGAGATAACTGGCGCGAAATGCCTTTAACGAATTGCCTTGGCGTGTGCCGACTTTCAATGTACTTGGCTACAGAGCAAAAGTTCAAGTCCGAGACGCAGACAACGAATGCACTTCAATAATCAAAACATAGACTTCTCAGTTTCGTTTTGGGGCGAATCTTCTGCAATTTTCATTTACAATTTCCTTCATTGCAAATGCAAATGTAAACAGACAAAAGGCAACGTAATCTGTCCAATGATCCGGAATTCAATGTTCTTTTCAGTTGTTGTTGCCGTGTCTGCAGCTGCATCGAGTGCAAAGTACCCTTAATCAGAATCAAATGAAATTCGCAGTGGGACAGACAGACAGAGAGAAAGAGAGAGAAAAAGCTAGAGAGAGAGAGACGCGGCAACAGACACGGCGACGACACTCAAAACCGCGACAAAGGCTGCGTCAATGCTTTCGCCCATATTTGACCACACGACATGCTAAATTTAATTGTCTTTTTTAGCACTCTTTCGAAATGGGTACTCCTTTTCTCCTAGAAAATATGTAACAACTCTTTTTAGAATAGAATCTTAGGATAACTTCATTAAGCTTAGAATTGGTTTTGTTCCCAAAAAAAAGTTGCCAGGAGTTTCACTCAATGAGGTATCAAAATAGAATTATTTATCTAATCAAACTTATCTCTCAGCTTTGATGTTATTAAACGATTCGCAGTGCATTTCTATATAAATATCTTAAATATAATAATTGTTAGCTTTGCATTTAAGTAACGATGAGTATTTGTTTGTTAATTTATATAATTACATCAAATTTAATTCTAGAAGTTTTTAATTTAAACTTTTATTTTATATTAGAGCATTTATACAATTTGCTTAAATGCACGATTTTCTTTCACACTCTTCAGCTTTCCTTAGTTTATTAATTTATACATTTTATATAGTTTCAACAAATCTTTTTGTATAATTAAACTTTTACATTTTCGTTTTAATGAAAGAATTTATTTCACACTCTACAGCTTGAATCAAATTAAGGGTATCTGGCTCTCGCCACACAAAATTCAATGAGTTCTTTGGTGTTTTGGTTGTTCATTGCTGTTTCGGTTGTTGTTGTCATTTGGTACCTCCTTGATGAACCGCATTCAACTGAATTTTCGACCGTTTATAGCGTATACAATAAATTATTGAAATGACTTTATGAGCCGTTGTAACACAACTTAAATCAAGCAATTTGTCTGGCAAATTGTTATTATTCAAATCATCCAGGTCGATGCATTCCGGATAACAAAAAAGTTCTCTTCTGAAAATTTCTACCAAAAAGGTCTTGAGAAATTCTTTCCGCCAACCTTTAATGACTTAATCAAAACTGAAGCAAGTGCAAAAAGGAATCGAATTATGCCAATGAACTTTCCCTCACCTAAGCTAACAATTGAATTTCGTAGATTGAGTAAGTTTAAACTATCTCCAGCCTTTTGGCTTAACTCTTTAAATAGTTTATTGGCATACCAAATTTGTTAAATCCAAAAAGCAACACACACATATTAAATGACATCGCAATATTTCGATAATGATTTGTGCGCTACTCAAATTGTGCGTATTGTAAGCTTAAATAATAATGCTCAAATTTCAAATCTTTAAATGCTTTGTATTATTCCTTCGTCCATATTGAGGCTCTTAATTCTCCAATTCTAGAGTTCTGCGTGGGCCATTTAGAACTTGACACCTGTATAGTTAAGGCAAATGGACATTTTCGGTTCACCAGCTGCAGTTGCTCAATGGCACAAAGCGAGCTATTTGAGAGCCTTATATGCTGGTAGACAACGTGTGGCAATGTCAACAGTTCCGTTCGCAATGCTATCAGCTGTTTCTTTACCCAATGCCCTATCTACCGCACAATTCCATGGTGACCCAACCATTTGCTGCTGCAGCACAAAGATTGTCCACAAAGTGGAATTAATTGTATTTGCATAGCATGTAAACATCATCACGTTGTCGGCAGGATCTCGCTAGTCGTCCGCACCAAGCCCAACTGCCAGAGACCTTTAGCTGCTGCCATTGTCAAGCATTTGGAACGTTTCTAAGCTGCAGCTTGCCACACATTGAATGCCATTTTCTATCCGCTGTGTTGGGCTGTGTGCCACAAAAGGCACGTCATTGTATCCTTTGGCTTCCTGTGGCGCGATTGCCATACGGGCGTGTATTTTGAGCTGCCACGTTGCTGATTACGCGCCAGGCGCACACATAAATACACACGCATTCACATATGCACACACACACACACACACACACATGCGACAGCGAATAACATGTCATAGCATCAAAGAGGAACTGGAAGTAAAGCCGTTTCAGAACGTTGCGACATCAACGTGTTGAGGCGGAAATTGACACGCCGTGACACACACTGGGTGTATCTCAGCCAGAGCTCACGCTCCACTCTAAGATGGAAGGGAGTGTGCTTTTTGCAGTTGATTGAGCTTTGCATAATTTAGGCAACGATTTGTGGCACCCCAATTAACTAGGTTGCAAGCAATCGATGGAAAATTATATCATACAACAAGCATTAAATTTGTAAGCCTCCACCCGCATTACGTTACGTATTGGAGGTGCACGCCAGTGCATCTTCAACTATAACCGTAATTGCTATATATCATTGAGTCCCCTGTATGCACTCACGAGATATTTCTAATTAGCAGAAATCGCCACTCGGGGGCCAAATAACAATGCAGAATGTGTGTGTGTTTGCAGAAATTGACAGTGTTGCCAACGGCA